CTAGGGTGCGTGTATGTTTAACTTGTTAAGAAACCGCCAAACTTCTTTCCAAAGCGGTTGTACTGTTTACGTCCCCATCAGCAATGTACAAGAATTCCAGTTGCTCCACATCCTCCTATAACTTGGTGTGCTCAGTCTTTTTAATTTTAAGCATGCAAATAGTGTGTAGTGGAATTTCACTGTGTCCTTAGTTTGCGTTGCCCTAATGACTAATGATATTGAGAGCATTTTTTCATGTGCTATGGACCATTTGTATATCTTCTTCGGAGAAATGTCTAGCCAGATATTTTGCCTGTCATTTTAATTGTATTGGTCATTTTATTGTTGAGTTGTAAGAGTTCTTTTTATATCCTGGATACCAGACTCTTATCAACATATAGTTAATTTTTTCTCCTATTTTGTAGGGTTTTTTCCACTTTCTGCTCTTTTCTAAAAAATATTGGTTAGTTGTGTTCTTATTATCGGGTTTTGAGAGCTCTTATCTATTCTGAATACAAATCCTTTTTCAGACATATTAATATGATTTGCAAATATTTTCTCCAATCTGTAACTTGTCTTTTCTGTTCTCTGAACAGTGACTTCCAAAAACAGAAGTTCTTAATTTTGATAAAGTCCAATTGATCAATTTTTTCTTTTATCGATGTTATATCTTAGAAATTTTTGCTCAACCCAAGGTCACATAGGATTTTCTTATGTTTTCTTCAAGTTTTATAGTTTTCAACCTTTCAAACTTTATAGTTTTAGGTTTAACATTTAGGCTTATGATCCATCTTGAGTTCATTTTTGCATCTGGTACGAGTTTGGGATGGAAGTTTATTTTTCTTTGCATGTGGCTGTCCAATTATTCCAGCGCCATTTGTTGAAGACTATCCTTTCCCCTAAATTTGCATTTTTGTCAAAAACCAGTTGACCACATACGTGGGTCTATTTCTAGACTGTCTTGTTTCGTTCCATTCACTGATTTATCTTTCCTTATTCCGGGACCAGTTTGTGCTGATGACAGTAGCTTTATCGTAAGTCTTAACCTCAGTTAGTGTAAACCTCGCTTCTAAGGAGCATCATGAAGGATTATTGATCTTTGAAGCATCCCTTGGCAAATCCCGTGAAAAGGGGACCTTCTCACTTGTCCAGGCTCCTGTTCCACCTCCACAGGGATCACGACTTTGGGTAGGCCACACCTTCTCTGGGCCTCAATTTTCCCACCCCTCAAAATGTGGGGCTACCTGTGCTTACCTTCTAGAGGTGCTAGGAGGATTCAGTAAGATGATGCCTGCAGTACCTGGACCCTCGTAATCGTGTAATAACTGGTTTCTGGGAGAGTGTGAGGTTCACCTGGGAGCCAAGATGGGACTCCACACACTTGGTGTCCTTGTCCTCGGCAGGGCCCCAAGTATCAGTCCACCTCCGATCACCAGGCAGCAAATGGGTCAGACTCGGTGCAGCCGACAGAGCCTTGTTGCGTCTTGGACAGCTGTGGACAGCCCCTGGGAGACAGGCCCTCCAAGGAGGCCGGCCGCCCACACATCCGGCCCCAGGCGGCTGTGCCACAGCCTGGCCCAGGGGAACATGGGCAAAGCTCCCAAGGAGCAACACCCCTAAGGCCCATGGTGACTCCAGAGGAAAAGACAGCCAACCCCTCCCTGCCATCCATGCCAGGACATAAAACTCCCAAAGACGGGTAAGTCATTCTCCCATGCCGCTCCCTGCTCCACTCCCTGCTCCCAATAAGGTTGCTCTTCTGCCCAAAGTCACAGGTGAGGTGAGTTCTAGTCCTGACCTGGTGTAGGATCTTGGGCAAGTCACGCCTCTCTAGGCCTCAATTTCCCCATCTGTATAATAGCTCCAATACCAGAATCCTTTGTTCCGTGGGCCTGTGTACGGGGGGATGTGGGGGGATGGGGAGCCCCTCTGAGATGAGAAGGCCAAGTGGATGAGGCTGGGGTGGTGGAACTGAGTGTCCTGGGGGCTGAGAGGTGGGCGTGAGGCGGCAAGCCTTGGGCTGAGCCCTCCCCCACCTGGGGGTTTCTCTCCTATTTAGGGGGGAGGCTGCGGAGACCCAGCCAGCACCGGGGCCTCTTCCTCCACCGGTAAGTAGGGCCACGGTGGGGGTGGGGATGGGATGTAGGGGATGTAGGGACTCAGGAGGAGGAAGGGGACAGAGGTGGAGATGGGACAGTATTTGGAGTTAAACTGGGGAAGGTGTGTGTGTGAGAGTGTGCACATGTATGTGCATGTATGTATGTGTGTGCTCATCCATATGCATGTGCGTATGTGTGTGCTTGTCCACATGCACGTGTGTATGTATGTGTGCATATTTTGAGTGGGGGTCAAAGATGCTCTTACACCCTGGAGCCCTTGGGATCATCCCAGGGGTAGCTTGTTCCGGGTCAGCGTGAGTTTCTTCCACCCGTTCGCCCTCAGCCACACAATCCAAAGATTCCCTGAACACCTGGGAGGCTTCCGAAGCCCTCCCAGCCATCCCCTCCTCTTCGACCTGACCAGGCAACCTGCGAATACAGTGTCATGATCTAGCCCTGCCAACACCTGCCCCTGTCTCTTCCTGTCGTGTGCACTGCAAAACCCCACCCCTGGCTGAGCCCGGCCGCCCACGCGCCCTGCACCCGCCCCCGAGCAGCTCAACACGGCTGCAGAAGATGGTCTTGTTGGTGGGTGTCGCTTTGTGCCAGTGGCCATCCACGTCAGATGCTCCTGGCAATCCTCGCTGCTCCCTGCCACTCCACCCTCCTCCTCTGCTCCAGGATGTCCCTTCACGACGGCACCCCCATGCCCTGCATCTCCCCGCATGTGTCACTGAAACAGGAGACGCATCGGATGAGCAGAGCCATCCCAACCCACCGCCCTTCCCGCCTTTATTTGGCTACGATGGAAGCTGTGCAGAGGGGTCCCGCTTACTCATTAGATCCCACCCCCCACGCATGATGGATCTCCCCATTTCTACAGGATCATTCCTGTCGGCACCCGACATGGGTTAGTATGTGCCATATTAAAAGCCAAACACCAGCCCCTCCCCTGCCCACACCCCCATCTTTGCCCCGTTTCACAGCGCAAGCCCTCGAGAGTCGTCCCCCCACTGGCTCCGCGCACTTGTCTTTCCTCAGCCCCTCCCAACATGAGGCTCCTTACTGAGGTCTCAACAATCTCCATTTGGCTAAATCAAACGGAAAGGCACCGTCCTTACAGAGCCCGCCTCAAAACCGTGGGTGACAAGCAGCTCTCCTCCTCCTCCTCCTCCTCCTCCTCCTGCATCCCACCTTTGGTTCTCCTCCTGTTTCTGTTGGCGCCTCCTCCCCAGTCTCCTCCCAGGTTCCTCCTTCCCTTCTCCACCCTCAGTGCTCCACCCGCTGTCTCCCATCTCCACCCCTCCCTGGGCGATCTCAATCAGCCTCTCTGACCATTCCCAAATCCGTATCTCCAGGCCGGACAGTGCTTTTAAATCCCAGGCTCATATATGCAGCTGCCGGATTGAATTCCCCTTGACTGGCTAAGTCCCTTCTCAAACAGGACCAGAGCAGTCTCCCTCATCTCAGCAGGCGACACTGCCTTTCACCCAGGGGCTCACGCCAAGCAGCTCAAAATCACTTCCGATTCCTCTTTTCCCTTCTGCAGTCCAGTCACACCCGATGCATCAACAGGCCCTGCTGGCGCTACCTACAAAATAAATCCTGAATCCATCCCTTCCCCACCCCCTCTCCCATCACCCTGTTCCAAGCCTCATCCTCTTAGAATAAGGTCCACATCTTCACCAAGGCTCACCAGGCCTTTTGTCTAGCCACTCTAGCCTGACCCCAGCCCTTGAATATGCTAGGCTTATTCCCACCTCAGGGCCTTTGCACATGCTACCCCGCACCTGAAATATTCCCCAGAGACATTCTCGTGGCTGACTCCGGAGTCATTCAGGTTTCAACTTAAATGTCACTTTCTGAGCAAGGCCTTCCCTGACCACCTGATCTCAAATAGCCTGTCAGCCACATCACTCTGTCACATTACCCTGTTTTATTGTCTTTGTAGTACTTTCTCCATTGACACTATCTTATTAATTTGTTGATTATTCATAATCTAGAGCATAAAACTCCACGGGCAGCCACTCTATTTATTCACCACTCTGTCCCTCTGCCTGAAACAAGGCCCAGCACATAGTGTGGACTCACAGGAATCTGTGACTAGACGGATGGATGGGAATTACATGAGGTACCTCTCTGCACTGATGAGAAGTCGGATGAGACATAAGGAATGTTCCTTGTGTGTGCGTTTCCTCCTTCCCCCTCCCTGCCACCTGCACAGCCTGGGCTGGAGAATGTTGGGAGGAAGGGGGCACACAATTGATTCCACAGTATGTTCTGAGTGTCTGTGGCCCGCCCGGCCCTGTGCTGGGAGGGACAGGGCAAGGAAAGCAGGGGACAGCTCCCCGCTCCTGAGGACGTGCTGAACTGGCAGGACCAGAGGAGATGAGAGGTCCTGGACGGGAGATGCCGCAGGTGTCGGGGAAGGAGCCCTGAGGCCGCCAGGCAGGCTTCCGGAGAGGGAGGGCTGCCGTGAGGCCATGTGAGGGGCGGGATATGGCCGGAGCCGGGAAGTCGAAAGGGCACCCAGGCAGCAGGCCCAGCACTAGCAAAGGTACAGAGGTGGGAGTGGACACGGAGCAAGGGGTGACGATGGAAAGACGGGCCTCATGGGACAAGAATACCGCCTATAAGGGACAGGGCGGTGGAAAGCTTGGCCGGGCCATCAGGAAGCCCCCAGGACGTGAAGCAGGGTCACTGTGCCCTGGTCACCAGCCTGTCCGAGTCCGGTGAGGCAGAGCGCCCCACACACGAGTTACATGGCGCGGTTTGTTACTTGCAGACAGGCAGCAAGGGACAGCAGAGGCCTTGGATTCACAGTGAGCCGGTCCCCCAAGGCTCAGGAAAACCGCCTGGGCCACATGGAGTCTTGTCTCGTGTGCTCCACTTGCTGGAAATCGGAGCCTTGTGCACTGCTGGTGGGAATGTAAAATGGTACAGCCACCGTGGAAAACAGTACGGCAGTGCCGCAAACAATTAAAATTAGGCCAGGCGCGGTGGCTCACACCTGTAATCCTAGCACTCTTGGGAGGCCACGGTGGGAGAATTGCTTGAGCTCGGGAGTTCGAGACCAGCCTGAGCAAGAGCAAGACCCCATCTATACTCAAAATAGAAAAATTAGCCAAGTGTGGTGTGTGCCTGTAGTCCTAGCTATTTGGGAGGCTGAGGCAGGAGGATC